TGAGAAAATGGGTAGAGGGGAAGTGCAGCCACAATTGTGTCTGATGTGGCCCTGTTGGGCCAGTAGGCATACTGCAGGGGATCCAAGGTGTCTGGCACATTGCTCTGGATGTGGGCTAGCATCACTCTCTCAAAACACTTCATAATGATTGGGGTGAGTGCCGCCGGCCTGTAGCTGTTCAGCCAGGTGACTGGGCTCTTCTTGGAATGGGGGACGATGGTTGTGGTCTTAAAGCAGTAGGGACTGATGCTCTGGCTGAGGGAGCCAGAGCACACACACACACACACATTGGCTACAACCTCTGTAAAGTCAGTTATGATAGCTGCAACATGTTGACCACATATGCTGAGCACACACATCTCCATTTTTTCTCTGTTATTGTTGCTGTGTGTGTCGGTGTATCTGTGTGTTGTGTCTGTGTGGTTATTTTAATTCATGTACATGATTGAGGCCAGCTGTGGGTTGCTGCCAGGTGAAGAACATTACATTGGTGCCAAACTCAGGCAATTACATCATTTCCCATATTTAATGCATGCAGTTTTCCCAGAATGTTTTTTTCATCCTCATCAAGGATGAAGTTGTGTCTCTTTGGTTCACAGGGACACAGCACAGGGAGACCTGTTGCCAGTTTCCCACTGTGACAGGTTAGGAGTTACAGTGGCTTCAGTGTCCCATCAGTTGGGACTCAGTAATCCATTATGACAAAGTGAAAACATGTTTTTAGAATTTTTTGGCTATATGTACATACACATATATCACATTATACCAACGGGCAAACATTAACAGAATACTCTTCATAAATTGAGGCCCATTAATGTGTTCACATGTTTGGCAGGATGTGTGGTCAGATGTTTTTGGTTGCATGCAGACATTATTGGTGATGTCATGCAAACATTTGCATGCCATACATTATGGAGATAAAAAAAAATGAGGTTAAGTCTGCACAAGGAATCATAAAGGTAAGATTAAACCATGCCTTGCTTTCTCCTTATGTGACATGCATTGAAATTTAAATATGTTAAATACATTATAAATCAAATGATCTAATCCATTACATACTCTGTAAAAGTGTATGCCTAAGTACTACACGTGATTTAAGCCCCTTATTGATGAATTAGTTCATATGGTATTATATGTTTTGGAATGCATTATTGACAGAATCTTTGTCACTCAGACATCAAAAAGAAACTTTTCAATTTTTTAATTCTAAACATCCCTCTACAATCGGGCATAAAGGATGATAAAAGGACATGTTAAGACCACTACCACTGGATAAAATGACAACATGAACATATCACTTGAGTCATGAGTGTATAGCAACCAGTCAGTCAGGCCTGGACTTCCATTTGTCAGCATTAAGTGACTGTTATAGCCCAGGACCGCAATAAAAAAGATGATAAAAAGAAACTCTCTTACACCACATTTGTTAAAATACCTCTTGCTGAAGTGTAATTGTCCTCATATTTCTGAGCTTTCTGAACAAGAACCTATTAAAATCAATTTATGAGTAAAACTCAGTTGAGCAACAGTCACTGTATTTATTGATGACTTTCCATTGTAGCTCTCCTCTTTGAAATGGCTGTTGTGATTCAGGAGTTTCGAGAGGTGGCAAAGCATCTGGGCTGAATCCAGCTGAACATATAAAACTGCAACCTGTAGTCCAGTTGTTGAATGCTGCTAGTCTTAATCGAGATGCCACAAGACTTTTGTTTTCAGTTTTTAAGTTAACAGGGATTCAGTGGAGTGCACAGCCCTCTGGTAAGACCTACAGGTATTCAACAGAAACCAACAACACAAAGAAAAATCATAATTGAGCAAACTGAGATAAACCAAAATATCATTCAATTACATGATACATTACACATAGCTAAGTTAGACTTCTGTTTCCACTTGCTTTCCTTGTGCAGTTCAGTAGTATGTGGATATATCACACTGCCAACCCCACATACAACCAGTGTGCTAGTGCGAGGGTTAGACATGTGAAAAAAAGGCTGTATGTGCACACAGATGTTTAGAAGGGGAAAATCTTCCCAAGGTTTTTACTAAACTACACACAAAAGCTTCTGAAGGGATTTTTTTATGGACCTGTCATAAAATTTGAGTTTTTCCCTGTAGTGGAGTAAATCATGTTATGAAAGCAAGTACACAGATGAGCACAGCTCTTCCCCAGACGATACAGATGTTAAGAAGAAAGATGACATAAATGTTGATGAAGAGCATGAGGTAACCGAACACAAGTGCAACCAGCTGAGAACAAAGAATTAACCAAGCTACAGTAGTTGTTCCACTCTTTAGGTACAGGTGAAATACGACCCAAGAATTCCACAGTAGGTTTACGGGCTTATCAGACACGAAAATGCTGAACAGTGATTTATATTACTATGACAAGATTTTATCTTCTGTTGCAGCCTTTCCATGGGAAACAGCAGAAATGTGTGTGACTATACAAATAGTGCACACACAAACATGAACTCAGGTTCAAACATGGTTGGGTATGATGGGAAAATTTGGTATTTGCCAGGCAAATTGTATGAGAGAAGCTGATATTTTAATCAAATCATATTTTATCTGTATAGTGCTAAATCACAACAAAAGTCATCACAGGACACTTTACAAAGTAAGGTCTAGACCTTACTGTTATCACTATTTTTACATAGGAAAAACCCAACAAATCCCCCTTGAGCAAGCACTTGGTAACAGTGGGGAGGAAAAACTCCCTTTAATGGACGAAACCTCCGACAGACCCTGGCTTTTGGTGGGCGGCCTTCTGCCTCGACTGGTTGGGCTGAGTGGGTAGAGGAGAGGCAAAAGAAAAAAAGCAACAAGACACAGCAAACAAACAAACACTGGTCAGGTTGATGTGGCTGGTGACTGCTCATCAGAAACATAGAGCTCCAGAGCCAGGACTACCTGCAGAAAGGTACAGGGAGAGAGAGAGGACACACTACAGGAGAGAGGAGACACAAAGTTAGTGATGTGTAATGGTGGCACATAGAAGCATAGAGAGGAGAGGAGAGGAGAGGAGAGAAACTCAGAGCATCATGGGGCCCCCCAGCAGCCTGGCCTATAGCAGCATAACTAAGGGAAGGCTCAGGGTCACCTGATCCAGCCCTAACTATAAGCTTTATCAAAAAGGAAAGCCTTAAGTCTACTCTTAAAGGCAGAGATGGTGTCCTCCTCTCGAACTGAGACTGGGAGTTGGTTACATAGGAGAGAGGAGCTTGATAGCTAAAGGCTCTGCCTCCCATTCTACTTCTGCGGACTCTAGGAACCACAAGTAAACCTGCACTCTGAGAGCGAAGTGCTCTGTTGGGATGATAAGGTTCTATGAGGTCTTTAAGATACGATGGAGCCTCATCTTTAAGGGCTTTTTCTCACCTCCCTCTAGTTGTACCTCTTCATGAAGATAGTTTTGGTTTTATCTGTCTAGGTTTGGGCATATGTATGTTTGAGATTTCTGCCTCTACCCTGAAAACTGTAGGGAGTGGCTAGAGCCAATCCCATCTGACATCGGGCAGATACGTAACAAGTTTTTTTTTGACAAACATTCAAGGTGAGAGATCTGGACAAGCCACCAGTCTATCATGTAGACAAGCAACCACACTCGCTCCTATGGGCAATTTAGCATTGCCAGTCAGCCGGAGGAAGCCGGAGTACCTGGAGAGAGCCCACACAGGCACAGGGAGAACACGCAAACTCCACACAGAAAGACTCGAACCTAGAACCTGGAACCTCTTTGCTGTGAGGTGACAGTGCTAACCACCCTGCTGCTCTGCCACCCTAGCTTAATATCACTTTTATAAAATAAAGTGCATTAACAACTTAACATTGCATACATGTTTTTGAATTGAACAAAAAAATGATATAAATTGCATTAATAAATGTTAAAGGAAATAAATAAACATTGCAATAAACACAACTTAGTTTAAATGAAAATTGAAAAAAAGCCTGGTCTACAACAGAGGCAGTCTGGCAACAGTAGTAAAAGTACAGTGGTTTGATTTTTTTTTTTTTTTTTGTTACAGGTATGTGACTGAACTTCTGGGAGGAGAAAAATACATTTCATGCTCTGTGGTTCTGCCTGCTTTTTGCCATCTCTCGCAGGTGATGGAGACCTCGGATGAGGACCCTGCCTACGTGGTCAAATTCAAGTCTACATTCAGAACAGACCTGGAGACACGCAAGGAACATGCCAACATTGCATATCTGAAGATTGCTACCGCATTGGACCCAAGATTCAAGGACCTCAAGTGTATACCCAGAGCTCAGAGGGGTGAGGTGTGTCCCTCAGTCAGCAACTTATTCAAGGAACACAGGGTTGTTGCAGAGAAACCTGTGGAAGCAACAACATCAGAGCCACCAAAGAAAAAGTTAGCCTTATTGGTTGCTTCATCAGTCTGATTCTGAACAGGAGGAAGATTCAGATGAGAACAGTATGCAATGATACAGAGCGGAGCCCACCATCAGTACAGAGGTTTGTCCATTAGAGTGGTGGTCCAAACATGCAGGCTCACACAGCAGGCTGGCCTCCATTGCACAGAAACACTTGGCCACACCTGCAACATCCGTACCCTGTGAAAGGTTGTTTTCTCTTGCTGGTCATATTGTACAGAAGAAGAGAGTTTCTTTATCATCTGAAAATGTAAATGACCTTGTGTGTCTGAACAACTGGCTTGGTGTAGAGGAGTAGGAATAAGTCCCCTACATAGTAAATCCCAGCTGTGTACTTTTTTGTGCTCTTCCATTTCACCTCACTCTAACAGGGACATTGGCTCTGGACTCTGAGGATAACTTGTTTTTCTATAACAAACAAAATAAAACATTAATGCCCTGGCAGTGGCAAATAGCTTTGGTTTTATATTTGATTTGATTACATTGTTTGAGATTTGCTGCTACTGTGTAAAGGGAATGCTTTTGTTAAAAAGCACCTTATTTGTTTAAACCAAATGTTATTGCACGTTTGTTCATATAGTGGTACTTTTAAAATAAAAGTTTTAAAATAAAAGTGCACAATACACTACTTTGGAATTCATTATTGAATACTGCTCATATCAATGCAGTTAATCGCTGTTAATCTCAGAAAAATCATGTAGTTATCATATATAATCATATATCAATCATATATATATATATTGTAGTCTCCTTGGTAGATACTGCACTTCATGTTGACTTGTGCAATTGGCTTGAAGTTAGTCTCTAGGGTTGTTTTCCACATTCCCATTGAGTTCTTGATGAAGGCTCTTAGAGTCCTGTTGATATTGTACAGTTCCAAGCATTCCAGGATCAATGTGTGAGACATTGAGTCATAGGCTTTCTTGTAGTCAATCCAGGCAGTGCACAGGTTGGTCTTGCCTGGTCTTGAGTGACTACTTTATCAACCAGTAGCTGGTGCTTTGCTCCTCTTTTGATACTACCAATTCCTTTCTGGGTGCTGCTCATGTATTGAGCCATGTGCCTGCCCATTTTAGCTGCTGTGATGCCTGACAGGAGTTTCCATGTTGTGCAGAGGCAGGTTATTAGGCGTGTTAGAAATGAACCCAATTCATTTGTTGGAATCATGAGAAGTGAAGACAGGAGAGGACTGTTTAAAATCAACAGAAAGTTTACTGAAAGTCAGAGCACAGGTAGGCCTTACAGCGCTGGGATCAGAGGGACAAGAGCTCCCGCAGGAGTTCCATCCTCTGAACCCCGAATTAAGTTCTTACAATACATTTTATCTTCTTGGGCTGCTCCGCCCTGGACAGGGGTGCAACCTTCAATAGTTTGTGAACCTATTGGTCATTTGGTGTGAGCCGGAGCTCGCACTTCCATGTTGAAATATGGTAAATTTAGGTGTGTGTGTGTGGGTGTGTGCATGTCTCTGGCACCAGATCTTGATCTCGAGGTGCACTGATCAAAGGGTGGCCTACGTTGCAGGCCCCCTGTGTGTATGATGCTAATAAGTGTGTTAAACTGGCCAAGTGGTCATCTCAAGTTGTGTAATATGTATAAACAAGGAAAATAAAGTTATGAAATGTAACTAAAGATATGAGAAGTAACTAAAGCTTATAAAGTAACTAGAGTCTATAAGATTCAAATCTTACAGGCAATAGTTGGATGGTACTGCTCCCTTCTGAGGGTCCTTCAGAATCACTTCAGGTTACTTCCGACGCCGACAGAGATGGCGGTCATTGTTACTCGCGCTCTCATTTGTTGTTTTACTTTGCTTTTTTGGTTTTGTGCAACTCATCCCGGATTACTTTTATCAGAGAAGAACTGACCCAGTTCACTGTGCCTGCCCCCACCTGTCAGTGGATTACAAGCTTTCTGACAGACAGGAAGCAGCAGGTGAGGCTGGAGAAAACCACATCCAGCACCCAGACAATAAGCACAGGTGTGTTAATAAACTCCTCCATTCCTGTGTGCTTGTTAGGGTTTAACAAGTCAATGTTGAAGTCACCACATATGAACATTAATTTATGACTTATTGTCAAATAGTTTTCCTCTATCCAGTCATTAAATTTTTCTATGCTGGCTCCAGGTGCTCTATAAATACAGCTTACTACAACCTTTTTCTTTCTTTCCACAGAAATTTCTACAGTCACACACTCCAGCAAGTTATCAACAGTCCTTGACATGCTCTCGACTTTTTCATAACAGAAGTTATTATCTATGTACAAGGCCACACCACCTCCCATCTTATTCTCTCTGTTTGTGCATACCAAGTCGTACCC